CTCTCTCTCTCTCTCTCTCTCTCTCTCTCTCTCTCTCTCTCTCTCTCTCGGCAGGCACACACAATGAGTCCACATGCATGCCACATATACTCGGACTGTGGGAAGAAGAGGGGGAAGATGGGGGGAGTAAGGCATCCCCATCCTTCGAAGGCAACATGCGACGGTGTGGAAAGTAGACTCGAAGCCATACCACAATGAAAAGACTCACATGGCAAAGTGCTCACTGTGTAGAAGGTTGAACAAAACTGAAACCTGTCGAAATCGACCAGTCACATGGCTACGTGATCACTGGCTTCGTCAAACCTTCTACATGAAATGTCAATATAGCATCATGCAATGACACAGTCTCGTCGACCTGCTGAAATCCATTCGCATCTGATCTAAATTGGAGATTCAAGCTGCTGAATATACTTTAGAAACTGACGAATTCAAAATGGTTTTGTCGGAATCGTTTTGTTTTTCTATCCAAATTACCTAACCAAAGGAGTACGCAGGCCGTGTGGCACAATGTAGGCGCTTCGCAACTTGGGCTGGGTTGTACAATGTGGGGTATGTGGGTGACGCTATGTGAACTGGGGTGCACGAAACAAGGACAGGCAAAACGGCTATGTGAACTGGGCTGCACGAAACAAGAACATGCATGTGAACTGGGGTGCACAAAACAAGAACATGCAAAACGCCAAACAAAAAAAAAAGGCCGCAAAGGGACAACCCCACCCAGGTGCTTTCTCTGCTCTAGAAACATTGTGCCCTACTGTTTTTTGCTGCCTTGTGGGAGAGCATCACACAAGACCCGCGTTTCACTTTAAGATGGTTATGGCAGTGCCATCGGTTGAAGGCTTTAAGGAGGTACACAAAGAGTAGGAGAGATTAATGGATTGAACTAATAACCAAGCAGGAAATTACGAAGGTAGCCCAAACAAAAATTGAGCTCAAGAATAAAGAACGGAGACTATGAAATGTAAAAGAAGGGAGGAAAAGACGCAGGAAAGAGGATGACAGCTGAAACAGGGGCAACAAAGCATGAATGGGGAATGCATCAGGGAGTGGGGAGAAGACAGAGATACATCAGGCACATTCACACACCAAAATAAGCAGTGATTGAAAGAACTTGCTGTACCTCACCTCAACTGCTTCCGAAACTGTTGTTGTCATATCATATTTCAGCTCTTCAAATGTGTCATCCAAAAAGAAAGCTATAGTCGTCAACTTCCTCCCTTCCTGCACAAATGACAATCAGCAACAATGCTTCGCTCAAAACCATAAAAACTGACACCCTTGTCAGGAACACCAATTTTCTCCCTCCAGCGAAAAGCCGAGCAAGATTGCACTAACACTGTGAAACACAAGAGCGATCCAATCTGTTTCCATTCTATAAGAATATTTGCCCACATTGAGTGACAAACGGTAAGTTCTATGGACAGCCATCCCTCTGTATCCTTGACAGTCTGCCAGTCATGACTGTCTCTTCTCGTAAACATGACGAAGCATCAGCTTGCCTTTCATCCACTTTGGAGTTGCTCTCCCAAATTGTAACGACAGCGCCTGGAGTGTTCTGTAGCAACCCACCTTTAATGCTTCAACCTCTTCTGGGGAGGGGACCATCCGCCTCGCTCCAGCTTTCACCGAACGCTTAAGAGCATCCCATGTACTGGAAGCCATTTTCTTGGCCTTGGGATCCAGCAGCTTGTTGTGAGCATTTTCATGAACATACTCTGACAGATAACCCGCAAAGTCCTTCCCAGGTGGCATTGCAGAAGCACATAAGTACATGAGCTCCCATGTCTTTGCACACCAATCCCTGTTTAGTGGCAAGGAATCAAACAATCGCACACACCATATTCAAAGTCACACACTACACACAAATGTCCAACTGTCTGAGCAAGCCATCCATACATATACATCGCCCTTACAACCCTCCAGAAATTCCGGCAGTCGTAGTTACGATTCTCCGAAATCTCAGGCACTTCCACTCATCATCTCACTTACACACTTAATTGAGATGAAATCACACTGGATCGCAACTCCACAGAAAATCGGAAATGGATAGTCACATACAAAAAAGTGGACAAAACGAGAACAAGGTGATGAATAGTTGAAAGCCTCGCCTCCCTGAGCAAGATGCAACAATCATCTTGAGAAACCATCTAGTAATCAGCAAGTTCTCACTGGTGGCTGCAATCTCTCTCTCTGAGCAGTGCTGAAAGTAGGGCCTCTCTAGTCTCACCCAGCAGAAAAAACAATGATGAATGAATTCTGAATGAGGGTTTTGCCCCAACTCGTCAGTTTCGAGGAGCAGCTGCTTCCCTAGGCCTACAGTGTCTGCCAACCAAAGGAGACATCAAAAATTATCAGCCAAAAAGCATCCTAGCAGTATGCTGCGCAAAAAGAGACCGCACACGCAGGTCCCAGGTTTAAAACTCAGCCAGTTTAGAACAGTAATAAAGGAAAACAAAACTGTACTTCCTTTGTTTGGTCCAAGGCTCAACAGCTGGCAAGAACAAACATAACGAAAAACTTGAAATACACCAAATAATTGGGAAGGTTGCGGGTTCAAATCCCGCAATCCCCAACATAGCATCTGCTTCTGGGGAATGCATCCACCAGCAGCCATTCATAGGGATGCACCAGAGATTTCCTGATGTATACAACCACCCAGAAAACTGTTGGATATGTCAGACTTCTAGCAAGAAAAAAATACATAAAGCAACAAGCAATATATTTCTCGATCCCATCTATATTGTTACAAGCCAAAGTAACGTAGACATTGTGGCATGCCGAGGAGCAGGCTGCAGAGGGCCAAGTGCCCAAACACCTATGTGGGCGAGCAGGGATGCACCTTCACTGTCAGACATCATTTCGGACCCAGGGGTAGTCATGACTCTACACCTTTCCCTACCGTTGGTTTGCCTGTTCCTGTGTTGCTCTTATTCCTATTCTTTTCCACATTTTGGACAGGCACAACTTTCATCTTAGCATCCCTGTTCACAGAGGTTCCTATTCAGAGCACCCGTTCCGGTGAAAGCCATGGTAGCCCAGGAGATATTTTTGTCAGCATTACCAGCTAGTTTTGTCCTCTTCACCAGTTCATGGTCACTTTTGGCACACAGAAGTTTGTCTGCCTCTGCAGACTTTGGACTGCTCCAAGGGTAGCTGGGCCTGGGCCAGGGAGCCCGCGCCCAAATCACTATGTGAGTGGACCTGGGAACAGGACACAGATTTCCCATCCATTTAAAATTTTGAACCATTATTTGGACTTCATCTGGATGGTTCAGAACGTCTGGGTCATGACTACGACTGAGACCCAATACTATATATTGGTCTGCTGGGCCAGGACAGGACATCAAATGAAGGTCTACAAAGGAGAGCTCCCCATTAGAGCTGGACTACGACCTATTATCCGACATAAGGCCTCAAGGGGCCACATTTCTTATGCCAGTACGTTCTTCCACACACACACAGAGAGAGAGAGAGAGAGAGAGAGAGAGAGAGAGAGAGAGAGAGAGAGAGAGAGAGAGAGAGAGAGAGAGAGAGAGAGCTGAGTTCTTCTTCTTCTCCTGACAGACCTAGAGACCTGGTTCTGGTTTGATACTTTTGGAGTGACCTACTCTCCCAAACAGAAATCTGAGCCATACTATTGTTGGAGGCAATTGACAGGAGATGCCAGGGGAGAGGGATTACTCTATCAGCGTCTCCTTACTGCTGGCGTCAGAGTCAACGCTATGCCCGCATGGTCTCGTTGGTGGGGCATATATATCATATACGTATTCCCTTGATATGTGCATTTGGTTGAGACTTCCACTGTGCTCGTCTACATGCATTTCCACATAGGATTGACCTTGGCTTGCCAGCATACCCGACCCGTGATTTGGACATGGGACAAGATTCCTGAAACACTTTGCAGCGTTTGACAGTGGTGCCAAGGGCCGAACAATGGAAGGAATGGGGATAAAGATGGAGACAAAAACGGAAACACAAATGAGCACCCAAGCGGGAACAAAGATAGGAACAAGAACGACAACAGGCGGAGAGTTCGAAACAAACAGGGTTGGAAAAGGACGTCTGGGAAACCTTTGGGTCATGAGCAACAACACACCCATTCGGATTGTTGCGTGTCTGTTTCATAAGCTGAGCAAAGAGTTCATCACGGAGCTCTGCACGCTTGAGTGTATGCTTGTAGAGCTTGATCACAAGAGCCACTTGATCGCTCTCACTGATATCTCCACCATCGACACCCGTGTACTTCAGCACACCATGAAACAGCTTCACTGCCTTCGTTGTTAAATCCGCATTCATTTTCAGAAGTGACGTAGGGATAGGATCCTGCAAAACACAGAAGCACGAGACTAATCCATTGAATCTTTCACTGGGTTCGATACATTGGAGACTTGACCATGTCGTTGTTACCCATGCACAAGGAGCGACCAAATCTAACTGAAAACAGCAAAAAAATCATATCGGAAGAAAAGTACAGGAGCTCACCCGGAGAAACTGACCTTTTGGAACGACATCATGTCCTCCACAGCGTATTTGATTTCTTTGGCCCCAGTGGCAGGTGCAGATTTCCTCCACAGCAGACCCCTTTTTGCATTGGACTGGATCTGTTTCTGGACAGCCTTAAGGAATACATCTATCTGTCAAAAGACAAACCACGAACAAAGAAGTCCATGCCAATCGCGGAGATGATGAGAGGCGGAGGGCAGAACGAGAGGAATAGAGAGAAAATGGAAGACGACGCACAAGAGGGGGAGGCGGGAAGAAGAGGGCAGAGAAACAGAGAGTTCGCATGTTGGTTTCTCTTTGTGAGAGAACAATAACGAAGTGCCCAGGCGAGAAAGCACAATACTGCTGGATATGGTTTTCTATTTCACTCCTTTTCTTAGGGTTCTTTTCACATTTCCCTCATGGTGCTTGTACACTATCCGTCACTGAGATAGACTTAGGCTTAGAGGGTGGAATCTCACAGAATTCAAACATGGCGCACTTGGATCAAAAGTTGAAAGAAAAGATTGTGAATCAGTCGTTATAGAGCATATTCTTCGATCTTTGCTGCGGCCTTCTTACACAACCCAAATAAGAGAGCCCACTAATTCTCTGTATTTACTCTATCTTAATTTGCCCACAAAACATCTTCTCTCAGTCTCTTGCCCACAAAACATCTTCTCTCAGTCTCTTTATAAACTCAATCTTTATTTGTTTGGGAAACTAAGACAGTCATTGGTTATATGACACAAAACCGATCAGCAAAGAGCACTTTGCAAATCCATGTCTTTAGATACTCAAGCCCTTGCTCCTCCGTATTAACTGGTTCAATTGTTGAGATTGCGGGATTTGCGCCCGTAACCTTCCCAACCAGTTGTGCTATTTCAAGTGTCTGTTGCTTTCGTACTGGTGAGGATTTTGAACTTGGAACCAAGCACAGTACAGTATGAGACCGCCCTCGCCCTTCCTCTCATCAATTCTCCCCATAATACCCCTACTCCCCCAGTCCTGCCTCAGTGTCTACCACTCAGGACCATCACCCTTCTACAATCTTCCCATGGTGGCCTGACTGGACAACAGGGATTGCAGGCGTCAGGGCTGAGCAGGACCCCACTTTGGCCAGGGTGAAGCATCAAACAAGCCCTGCCGTACAGGCACTTGGGGCACTAGGCGAAAGCGTTCTTCCTACAGTTGCCATGGGTGGTCAGGGGTGGGGTGGGTATCGCAACCCGTATTGTTCCACTTTTGCACACCATGTCCTGACTGTAGTGGTCAAGAGAGTTGGCTCCTGAGGCCGAGGTCGCCAGTTCGAATCCATGTGTGCACAGAGGAGGTCTTAGGGCCAGATGTACGGAGGTCTTAGGGCCAGATGTCCTGTGAACCCGCGGGCAGATAAGAGACCCACGTGATACGAGCGGGCAATGTACCAGTGGAGGTCATGTGCTGATTGGAGATAATTGTGGGAGAATTGCCACGTCCGTGTGGTGTAGTGTGCGGTGTGTGTTGAGTTGGAACTACAGCCTTGCAGGGGAGGATATCATAACCGGTATGGTTTCACTTCTGAGCACCGTGTCCTGGCTGTAGTGGTTAAGAGACTTGACTTTTGAGGCCGAGGTCACCGGTTCGAATCCGTGCTTGCATGGAGGAGGACTTTGGCCCAGCTGTACTGTGGAAAGCTCCCCTGAACCTGTGGACCGATAACAAACCAGCGGGGGTCACACACTGATTGGAACCACTTGAGCAAAAATTGTCGTGTCGATGTGGTGTTGTGTGTGAGTATCCAGTTGGACACTACAGCCTTGCGGGGGTGGGATGCGTATCATGGCTGGTATGGTTTCTGAAAGGGTTTCACCCAGTTCCCACGACAATTGAAAATACCAGGATTTGGTCCCCAGACCTCCCCTAGCCCACTGTATGGTTGTTCGTTGACCTTGTGTGCTTTGAACCCGCGACCTGTCCTCAAAACCGTGTACAAATATCTTGTGTGTATGAGTTTGGTCAGGTGGGTTTTATCCATAGGTTAGTCATTTAGGAGTATTAGGGTCATCCGTAAGTTTCCCGAAAAGGCAAGTTTACATTTGATATTTCCAGAGGTCAACGGGCCCTACTTTCTCTGAAGAGTCAACTTGACCTTTGGGAGTCAGTAGAGGCAGCCCCTCAAAACCTCCGAAAGGTCAAGAGACCCAAGTCCAGCCCCGAAGGGGCACAGGTACAGGCAGTCCACGTCCAGCAGCAATTACCAGAGTGGGACTGCACGTCGAAGGGCATGGGACCGGGCAAGCCAGACCACCAAACAAAACAGTATAAATAAAGAGGCAGCACCCAGCCATTCATTCATTCGCCTGGGAGCTGCGTGGAAGCGCTGCGTGCGTGACTTGTGCATTGCGTTCACAGGTGGTCAGCAGGAATCCCGGCGTGGAAGAGGGCAAGCGGCCATCGCCGCTACAGACTTCCCCCGAACAAAACGCATGTGTGTTATACAACGCACAAGGTGTGTTGTATTCGTATACAACCCACATGCGTTTCGCTACGGGTTTTGAGCACCAACTTCAGAATACGGACTCTCAAAAAAAATCTGGTATACGCCCATGTAACCACGGGCCTGTCCTTGGGGCATCCGTCACCGTTAGCGCGACACACATAAATTGAGAAATGGTTCTCATTACAAAAAAAAACAAAAAAGGAACAAGTCTCCAGAATGAATCTTCCCCTGGAAAACCGAAGTACACATCCTGCATGTGTAGAGGGGTGGGGCGAGACTGTACATAGACAAGAAGACCTCCACGTCAGACGGCGATAGGGAAGCCAGAGAGAGAGAGAGAGAGAGAGAGAGAGAGAGAGAGAGAGAGAGAGAGAGAGAGAGAGAGAGGAGCAGTTCGGCCTATCGTTTCTTGGAGTGCGTGGTGATTTTGTTTTCTGGCCGCAATACTTCGAGTTGTCTTCGGCCAGTCGTTTCTTGGAGCGCGCGGTAATCCCGT